GTTTAGAGGTGTACAGTTTTTGTATGACCCATGTTATACTGATATACTGGGAGACACATCTAATAGTAGTAGTAGTAGTTTTAATTATGTGTATCTGTATTTTATACCGGATAAACTTTGTCTATGGTTTTTTAAATTTTGTATTATTTAATAATTAACCTTGTCGGGACGGATTTGTTATTGTTTCAAAAGGTAAAAGATAGATGCAGCTTACCCGTAGTACCAACGAATGCATAGATACTGCGATGTTGTATTTATATACGACTAATCTTAGGAATTCCTGATCGTGTTTCTTGAGCTTGATTCTCAACAGCGGTAAATTGGGAAAATTTTCATTACCAAAATGATTTTTCTATTTAAGGTTCTTCTCTGTTCCCGAATGAATATAACGCTTAAACCGTTACACATGATCAAGACTTTCAAAGAGGAAGCCTAGCATTAACATACTAAAATACTATATCAGGTGCTTAGCGGATAGAATCACGCAATATATTGGAATTTATTATTTAAAAAATTGAATCGGGTGCACGTCTTATATTGCATAATAAAACAATTTTTACTGATCTGACTAAACTTTAAGGAATAAAACAAATTTGAAGATGAATTTCAAATGACAATTTTAGATCCTATTTTTATGCATATATGTATCTGTTTTTTTTTTTTTTTTTTTTTAAATTTTTGTTTAATATGTTGCATACAATATGTATATATATGTATATTTAATTGTGTGAAAATCATCATAGGAGTCTATGTTTGTAGGTAAAATAGACGTTTCGATATATGTAAATATGTATTCATATGCTTGTTGAAGCACTCAGATCCAATGTGTAAGCTGCATGGTCCCGTCGTGAGTCCGTTGGGTATCCATTACACTCATCTGGCGGACCAATCGCTTCATCGAAGACCGATGCTGCCTTCCAGTACTGCCACTGTTCGAATCGCTAATCTCGAGTGGTGTGCGCTCATTAATGCGAGGCAGCTGGCGTTGGCGACGACTATCCTTTAACTCTAGTTCGACATCGGAAGCATTGGTTGAAGAGCCCCCTAGTACATCCAGATTTTCATAGGAAGCTGGTGGTGAGTGAATATCACTTTAATGATAATAAAATTGATTACTCAAAATTTGGGAATTTTTAAATTCAGAATTAGATTTACGGTTGTGGTTTGCATCGGAAGCAATCCTTGAGTTGCCAATCCTTGCCAAACTCTTCACCCTCTTCAATGGTCTGCGGCAAACGATGATGCAATGTCTCCGGCAAACGCAAGCCGGTCAAGCCCCCCAGCATCGAAACAAATCCCATTATTACTAATGGTAGCTTTAAATTTTCTTTACCCAGATACGTAACGAAGGGTATCACGATAAGTCCCAAGCCTCCTATGTAGCTAGATGCTCCAATGCCTATGCCGCGCACCTGCGTCGGATATAGCTCGCCGGCAAACGGGTAAATGATCAAGAATGATGCCGAAAGTAGAGCCTTTGATATGAGGTATAATATTAAAGTCTCGTCTATGGCATTGTCAGGTAGCATCACAGTTATAACGCAAGCCACTCCACTATATTCAATTGAAGAACAAGATGATAAAATTGTAAATAATAGTTATATAAATATAACTAAATACTAAATAATATGTAAGGAACTCTAGCCGAGACATCTCGACTACGAGATCCCCTGAATTCGTATAACTGGCACTTTAACAATTTTTTTTACTTCTTTTCTGTATGCACTAAAAACAACACATGTTCATACACACGCTTACTTTAGAAACTTATTTGTTTCATAATTTTTCTTGCAGATGGACTAACTTCATAAATTCAAATGAAATTTTGAGTGAAAAGGATGAATTTGTGACCGGTATCCAAAACATAAAAAAATCGAAATTCTATAAAATACGTGATCCTATATTTAAAATTTAAAATATATGATATAGATATACATACATACATATATGTATATAAGATTGTCGATAACTTTAAAGCTTAAATAGTTATCGCTTTTCTAAACAAACTTGATCTACGTGTGTAATACACGAGCCTAAAAAAATGTATAGTGTTCAAACAGACGGACAGGGCTAAATCGACATAGCTCGTCACCCTTATAAAATATATATACTTAGTGGGTGATTGTTACATTACATTAAATAAAAAAAAAAAACGTTAGAAAGATTAAGTTAATTAATTAACGTTAGAAAGTCAAGTAAAATAATAACATTATTGATATTCTCACCCCAATATCATTGATAAGCTCAGGGGCCAACGTCGTCCCCAAGTGTCCATAAAGTACCAACAGCATAAGTAACTAGGAATCTCAACAACCGCCGACAAAAAGAAGCTTACATATTGATTGGTGCCAAGCGATGGTCCATAGTAGCTGAGACCCAAATAGACGGTCTCGTTGGCAAACCAGCTAAGTGTGATCAAGATTGTCTTTAGGCGCATGTTAGGCGTGCGGCATAGATCTAGGAGGCCTACGTTAGCCACCTTCTTCTTCTGTTCGCGATGTTTATCTCTTTGGATTTGAGCCTCTAATTTGCTATGCACTACCTCAGGAAATTCTTGTCCATTGACGCGTGCCATGCGTTCAAGTATTCGCAGTGCCTCTTCCAGGCGGCCACGCATGAGAAGCCATCGCGGGGACTCGGGCATTATGAATATGTATAGAAAGTAGGAGTAAAAGGGTAAGGATGTGTAGTATGAGAGACGTACCCAGTCCCGCTCCAGATAGGTAACCAACGAGAGTAGCATTATACCTGACGTATAAAATGTGCACGTCATTACAGTCACAAAAGATCGATACTTCTCGCCCACTAATTCCAGAGCTGCAAAACAGACATGAAAAAACTGGCATTTTACTCACGCACGACCAAAATCCAATACCAAACAGGAATATCTGTGGGAAAATATTGATCTGTATGCTCCATTAGACGATTTTAGCTCTAAAACTAATAGATTTGCAATTTTTTCATATTATATATTTTAGTAAATCCTCAGTTAGTTGACAATAGGATTTGTCGCTGTGGAACGTTTGAAGAATAAAATATTCTCAGTTTTGTAACTGGTTTAGATTATATACTACATATTGGATCCATTGAATATTATGGGAAACCAGGGAATAATGGTTTAAAAAACAAAAATGTTTACATGATCCTGATAAGGAGGATGAGGTGAACCGATTTAACCCTGTCCGTATGCCCTTATGCTATTATGTTGAAATAGAGACTGTACATTTTTGTGTCTATGCACGTGCACGTGTATATAAAAGAATCGAATTTTATTTCAGAATTAGCAATATAAAAAGAAAAATTTCAAGGCACTAGCTCTTATATCTTCTGAGATCGAGGCGTTCAAACCAACGGACGGACGGACAGACATGCAGACAGGGCTAAATCGACTCAACTCGTGGGCCTGATCAAGAATATATATACACTATGGGGTCTGCCACGCCTCCTTCTGCCTGGTACATACATTTCAAGAAAACCATAACATCCTGGTGTCCCATTTTCAATGGGTTCAGGGTATAAATCAGCAAATGTATATAGGCAGATCTACTTACAAATGATAAAGGGTATCTGATATACCGCAGGTATAGTCAACCCAACAATCACTCGACTTCCGGCCCATGTCCAAAAGTCCGTGCTCAGCGATGTAATCAAGCTGCCCGCCAGAAGAGTAGCCAGGCAGGCGAAGTAAGATAGTCGCCGGCCTGCTCGATCGTTAAGCAATCCAAACAGATATACACCTACCGGACCTCCACAGTTGAGAGCCGCCAATCCAATGGTGGGATATATATCTCGATCGCATACCAAATTAAACTGTTACAAATTTATCGATATTATTATGCATGCCTATAATCAGATCAGGGTTCCTGAATGACTAGGAAATGAGTGGCAAAGAGCGGCTCTAAATGAGACTAGATGTAGATTAATTGTAGCTGTGTATATGTTTCTTTAATCACATCGATCACAATCGAGGACCAGACACTGGTCGTGTTGTACTCCCACCCTTGACTGCACTTAACCAATGGCCAACTGTTATTAGGCTCCAGTGTTAAGGCACTTTCATCGGTGTATTCAATAGAGTCAAGCAACTGTGTCCAGTTGACGCCATATGTATAGCATTTGCTGAATTCCAATTTGTCGTTCTCCTAAAGTTGAATAAAGATACAATAGACTTACAAACTTACTTATAACCGAAAACTTAAATCGGACTACATGAACTTACCATTTCCTTAGGTATTGCCAAATATTTCCGCTGCTCAAGATCCATTTGAAGAAGCTCCGGAACCCTACACCAATAATCATCAGGGGTGTCGGCCATGAAGAGTTGGTTGAAAGCACAAAAYCCGCATGGTATACAGGCAGGCAGGCAAATGCCAAAAACGAGGAGCTTCTGGTACTTGCCGAACTCGCCAATGACTGGCAGCAAATCATCCAAATCAAAAGCTTCCTAAAACGGTATCCCCTGTAAGTTGCTTAAAATGCATATTTCCAGAGCAACGAAGCTACTTACATCCATTGATGGTTGCGCCTTGGGCTTGTTATGTTGCTGCAGCTCCGAGAACTCATCGAACTCATCTTCACTTTCCACAATTTGGCTTGTCATTAGTCTAGTGGATTGAACGTTCTACGATTTCTTGGAATATGTTTAAAGACAATTTTTCGTTTTAGCAGAAGCCTTAAAAATGTTTGTCATATGGTGCAGTTCGAAGGGTTGCAACCCTTGCATAAAGCCAAAGGAGGAAGGCAACATTTTTGAATTTGTTTTTATGATTTATTTTTTAATTCCAAGTTGGTTTTATATTACTTTAAACTAAAGTACATACTTTTAAAATATTACACATATGTTTATCCTTAGAATCCAAGCTTCGGTAAAAATTAATTGGCTTTTTTTTAAGAATAAACAAAAGGAAAAGTATATATAATTACAAAGTAATAAATTATAATAACGGTTAAGAAATGTGTGTTAAGTTAATTCATATAATTTTATAATATTCTTTTTTTATCCTTTTTTATTTACTTTTTCGAATTTCGTTTATATCGAGAATAGGACGTTTATTTGAAATGATTAAATTACATGCCAAAAATTGTTTATAAATTGTTTCGGAAACATGTAACTTGCACAATTGATTTGCACCCTCTTTTTCTCTCGTATCTTCTGATTTATACTAAATATTATTGCGCGCTTCGGTACTACAACATACTCACATACTTATATACATAAACATATACATTATGTATTATATATGTAGTCGTACATTAATAAGTTCTTTATAATAAACAGAAAACTGGCTGTTCAACCACAGCGCAGAAATCACACACATTAGGCTTAAGTATAAATTGTGGCTACACATACAAAGCACACGAGCACACATATTGTATAAATACTTGATTTATGCGCCTAATCGACCTTGACAACACTATAGATTTTTCGTATAAACCAGAAGCATGCAAAGAAGCCAATGGTGCCGGTCAGCAAAAAGAACAGGAATACCATGATAGCTGTATAGCCAAAGTAGAGAAACGTTGAAGCGCTGTCCTTAATTGAGAGCTTTGTGAAAAAGTAGTGGCAACAATATATGAACAAATAAACGGCTGTGAATCCCGAGGTAAGAAATGATCGCCACCACCAATGATAGTCTTCTGCGCATAGATGAAAATAGCAAAGTAAGATTGTTGTTTCTGAGCATGTGATGATAAGTATCAGGAATACGAGAAAGAGAAATCCAAACATATAGTACATCTGATTTGACCATAACGAACTTAATATAAAGAATAGCTGAATAAAGATGCAGCCAAATGGCAAAACTCCACCCATTACTATACCAGGAATAGGCTGCGTGTAGATTGACTGATCGGGAATTTGACGCGGAATTTGATTGGTGCGCACTGGATGCTCAAGAGACTGCAATAAACATAGTCAAAGTGTTAATATATAATATCTTTACGGAAAAACTAAATCAAAATATTTAAATAGTTATAACTCACTCGCTTGCGAAAACCAAAGTAGGCTCCAACAAAGGTCAATGGCACTGAGACTCCAAACCACAAAGCCAACAAGGCAATCAGCGTACTGAAAGGCACAGCTCCAGAGCTGCTCTCGCCCCAAAGGACAAGATTCATCACAAAGAAAAGCGAGAAAACGACTCTATAAGGAAAGAAAATAAATAACTTATAATTTTATAATTAGAAATTTTGTTGAAATTTACCCGGGACAAACAAGAGACGTGAGTATGACGTTGCTCTTCCATTTTACGCCGCCAAAACTCTTATAGATTCTCGCTGAAACGTATCCCGCTGGTGTTCCCAACGACACGAACAACACCATAGAACAAGTCATCAAAGCACCACGATTTGCTGGTGACAAAAAACCAAGGCAAGCAAAAGCCAACGTGACCATAGACATTGCCAATACCTGCACACCGGAGCCAAGGAAAACGGAGAGGAGCATTCCTTTACGTGGTGGCCTGAATACATCTCCGTGCACAAGTTTCCATCCGAATTCCTCCTGTGCGTCCTCACCACTGTCCATTTGATTATATCGTGCTATATCCTTGTGCAAAGTGCGCAACATAATCATAGCCACCATACCACTCAGGAAGAGAACAATAACTAATGAGTTGAGTATAGAAAACCATTGAATATTTGTATGCGGCATCGACTCTAAAATATAATCCCAGCGCGAGGACCATTTCACTGAATTATTCAGCACAAATTTCACGGAATATGTATAAACAATTTCCAAAAATACACCATTCTTAAGGGAGCTTTCAGGTATGGCCAAAGGCTCTGTGCCCAAACAGTTTGGTTTGTTGGGATCAGCGTGACTCAATGACTTTGGAGTGACCTTAACTGATATGATGCGACCACTACTACCAAAGCCAATACCCCAATCCTCGCGAGCGCCACTGTGATAAGTTATTTCCAGATCCACGTGATTGAAAGGATAGTAGTGCAAGGTCCGCTTGTATAGTAAGTTGATGGGACAGCCGTCGCCATCTGGACGAACCAAACAGCCCATTGGGAAGCCAATACTGCAGTACTGCTTTCCCGTCTCAAGCTGATAACACCAGGTAACAGGCATGTTATCCACTATCCAATGATGCTGATAGTTAAGACTAATACCCTTTTTAAGTACCATCATTCGCCTATCGCTGTCCGCATCACCACCGGTATAGTTTTTGCGACATGCCTGCAGTTATATATATTTAGTTTCAGTTATAAATATTTAATTAACAATACGATAATTAAGTATGTAATACATCTTACTTACCACTTTGCATTCCACATCATCCAAAAACTGTATTTGATAAGGACCAGGGCGTATACGCTCGCCAAACAATACTTGTCCTAAGTTTTCTACCGGAGAATTTTCCTCTTTCCCCAGACAGAAATCGAAGTGATGGTATTCATAAGGTAAAACCGATTCCTCAGTATTTAAGCGATTAACATACAGAATGACATCAGACTAAATAATGAAATATAAATACGCAACTATATATGAGACTAAATATTCCATTTGGTACTGTTCGAAAAAATTAAAATAATGTACATATTTCCATCCATCGAAAATAAAAGAAAAAATCTCGAGATAATAAAACATAATTAATATAAAATTAAATGAGATTAATTAAAAACCAACGCAGACTTTTAACAATATACATATTAATCAAACTAATAAAATATTGTACCTCTACTATACTATTTAGTACCTAATAAAAAATATTGGTCAATATGTTTATGATTTTATAACATAGATAACTTGTATTTAAAATAGAAAAAAATGCTCCCTAAAGAGAATGAGCAAGCTAGAAATGAAGAAGAATGATAAACTAAACGAGTGTCTTGCCATATGGGATCTTGCCAACTGAGCTAACAGTCTAACAGTCTGTGTGTATATAAACATTTAACATATGCATGTATGAAGAGCTTACATGTATGAAGATTACATACATAGTTCGGATCATGCCAAACAAAACGCTCTACGTCAGCAGACCACCCCACTGTCAACTTAGTTCGAAACGATATACATATGTATGTAATACTCATGGGAATCTTATAACTATTTTGAATATAGTTTAGAAGAAATGAAACGGACGAGCCCCTTACGATGTACAGACCTTTTTTTTTAACGCTGAACACAAGAATTACACATACATATGTATGTAAATTTACACATATACCTTGCATGTACTGGACACATCCGATTTCCTGCAGTAGTTCACTGGGGCCAGGCCAGGCAGATAAAAGGCTTTGCAAATCGTCAACGTGTTAAACAATAATATCACCAGCGCCACTTGAGAATACAGAGCCATGGTGCAACGGCTCCGTGACGATATCATTCTTAGTGTATTGACAACTAAAAACGAATACTGAGTCAGGTGGATGCGGAGTTACCAAATTCTGTGGTTAAATTTATTGTGACAACCGTCGACGGAATTTCACCAGAACGTTAGCTGTTTCTGCAGTGCTCTCGATAATGTATATTTGGACGTATCTAACAGAGTTATTACCAAATTTTGTTATTTTTTTCGGCTTATTTCTGTCTGATAAACGTCAGCACTGTGCAATCGCAAAAACGGCGCTGCCACTTTTGGGCCTGCCAACTTATCTAAATGGCAACAGAGTTACTTTTATGAATAAACTTAGTTTTTGAGTAATGTTTTCTTTAAAGCCGAAATTTTTTTTTATGAGTATACCTATTTGATACAAATTCTGTTTGCTTTATATGTGCATTTTAGACTTTACTATTTTTTGTGAAACGCATTAAATTTAAATTCAACTGACAGCTATGAGCAAGCCACGAGTTGCCACCTTTCAAAATGATTGACGCGCATCAGTTTTCCATGTGGAGTCGAGAATTATTCAGAGCCGGCCCGCTTGTATTTCTTAACAATTTACATTTAGTCGAACATAAAACTTCTTGTTCCAAGTTAATTGCAGCTAGACAAATTCAAGTTACGTATATTAAGAATTTGAGCGAGAGTTTTTCTGGTCCCGCGTTTTTTGACAGTTGGAATAGGCAAAATCGAAATAGCAACACAGCATCAGGAACGCGCAGACAAAGGGGAAACAGACACGCAGAGTGAGTAAGTATTTAAGCGAAAAAATCAATTTTAGGACGACACAATATTTCCAAAGTGTTCGTTTCATCGTCAATTAATAAAGCTCACTTTATTATTCGTTTACTTATTTGGCAGCTGCTCGGTATTGTCTATATTCACATATACATACACACCATAGAAAGCTAAGAGATTACGAAAAAATTTCCACCAATTCGCGCCCTAACAGCTACGGCATTTGCACGAAATCGAAAGTAAGAGCTCTAAAATGACTTCGGACATAACACGCCAACTAATTGTTATCTTGGAGAAGACGGTCTCACCAGGTAAATATTTAATATCCTCTAAATATATATATATGCATATATATATATACATATGTATGTGCATGTACCTAAATTTCAATTGAGGCAAGCACCTATACATCAAAGCATCTAAGTTTAGTTGCTCAGGGCCAACCAAAAAGCCATTTTGTTATAGGCTTTGCTACGACGCAACGTCGGCGGCAGTGACGCGTATGTTGCGCAGGGTTGCAACGTCCAATATGTGAACATTTGTTTGCTATACACAACAATGATACATACATACCTATATATAGTATTATGCTCACGTTCTCAGCCACATGCACATCTACTAATAAAGGGATCAAAAGCAATAGTGTGCAAGTAGAAA